ATATAATGAAAGGCTAATATGCAAATCAACCGAGCAGCGGAATGGCTGGGCGCTATGATGCACACTGACCACCAGGGGCATGTGCTCAAAGCGGGAGTTTTCCCCTTGTGGTCAGTGCACTCCTATAGGGGGAGCACCACTCAGCCAGAAGCTAGGCTCACAGCTGTTGAGTGCAGAGGCAGTGGCCGGTGCCCCTCCCGCCTCCTCAGCAGCTCTAAGCAGCAGCAAGCTGAGTGGTAAGGAGCAGCGAGCAGGCGGACAGTAAGGAGTGAAGGGTCCTGGATAGCAAGAGGGTTCAGGCTGGACTGAGGGACGCCCCTTACCCCAGTGCGTGAATTTCATGCATCAGACCTCTAGTCCTATCTAATAAAAGGGTAATACGCAAATCAACTGAATGGTGGAACATTCGGTCACTATGACGCACACTGACCACCAGGGGGTAAATGCTCAATGCAGGAGCTGCCCCCTGGTGGTTATTGTGCTCCCACAGAGGGAGCACCGCTCAGCCAGAAGCCAGGCTGACAGCTGGTGATTGCAGCAGCGGTGGTGGGAGCCTCACCCACCTCTGTGGCAGCACTAAGGATGTCCTACTGCTGGCTTAGGCCTGCTCCCCATGGGAAGAGGGCCTAAGCTGTCAGTTGGATATCCCCTGAGGGCTCCCAGACTGCCAAAGGGTGCAGGCTGGGCTGAGGGAACCCCCCACCTGAGTGCACGAATGTTGTGCATTGGGTCTCTAGTAGGTCTATAGGTTTAAACAGAAGTAGAATGCTATACACTAAAATGCTAGCAATTGAAATATTGGTGATAGATATGTATATATTTTGGTTTGTTTGTGCTTATATCTACTTTCTAATGTGAAATGCTATTCTTCATATGAATAAATGATGAAAACTTAAAAACAACCTAATCTAAGAGTTTTAAGCAGAGTTTTACATAATCTCATCATTAGAAACTAGGAATACTAATTCTGTTTTTAAAAACACTGCATTTGTCCTGGAATATTTGGAAAGAACTAATCCCTCTTGTAACAGTTCACTGTCAAGGTTAGTATTCTAAAATCTGGCATAGGTTTATTTCTGAAAGATTGTATTATCATTATATAATTACAAAAATATGTTTTTCATATTACAATTTTTTTGAAACCTAAAAATTGCTCTGTAGAGGGAGGCAAGAGATTAATTGTTCAGCCTTTGCCAGTAATTCTCTATGTGAATTTGGAAATTTTAACTTTTTTGTTATTTTTGGCCTTTATTTCATCATCTATAAAAAGTGGCAAGATCAGGAGATCTTGATGAACTTTAGCAGCTCTAATATTCTAGTAATCTATATTAGATTTATAAATCAACCTCAAAGAACTATATGAGAAAGTATGAAGGCTGAAAAATTCCAAACTCTTTAAAATACTCTTTAATGGACTCTTCTGTAGTTACACAGGAGGTTGTTGACATTTCTCTCCTTTAGTATGGTTTCTCCCTTAATTGAATTTTAAAACACATTATATGTTAAATATTAAGATATTTGAACTTTTGTATACTTATGACACCTGGTGGTAAAAGTGAACATCACAGGTAAATTCTAATTCCCCAGACACTCACTCTCTTCTTCTCAAAGGAACTTTCCCCCCTTGATTTATCTATTCATCAGGCATCCAGTCATTCATTCAACAAACACTTAGTGGATACCAACTATGTTCAAGACACTTTATTATGGAGTAAAGGAAGAGGTAATAATGAGTGTTTTAATATGTATGAGATTGCAATTTATTTAGGGCAACAGAATAGAAAAGCGAATAACCACAACATGCTAGGTATATTAAGTACACTCTCACTAAAGAAAATCAGAACTATGAATACTATGAGAAGGCTTCTTGGAGAAAGTGAGCCTTGCTTTTCTTGGTGCTTCAGTTTCCCCATCTGCAAAATGGTGGTAATACTTTACTGTTGCATAGGATTTCTGTGAGAGATTGACTGACAGAGTATGTATAAAGTACTTAGTATAGCACCTTGCACAGGGAGTCATTCAGTGATTATTAATTGTTATTATAACAAAACCAAAGATAATCAGGGAAGACTTCATGTATATTAACTATTCCCTAAATTTTATTTCAAAAATAATTACGGTTCAAGCTAATATATTATTTTCTTTAGACTAAATATATAGAACATGAGATCAATTATTTTAGTTAATTAAGTGGATAAACAATCCACAAAAACAGACAGTGTTGGCTATATTTACAGTTTGCTAGAGAAAATGGTCAATTTAGCAAAAATAACCAACTCAGTTACAATAACATTCAAAGTAGTTGTTTATTTAAATGAGCTGATTGTTTTACTGCAATAAAGTGTCAATTAGTAAATACAGTCTCTGAAAGTATCATGTAGTCAGTGCAAAAGCATCAAATAAGCTGTCTGGCATTGTGTGAGCTGAATGTGGGTTAACTGAATCTTAAAACATTTTAATTGGCGGTGTTGGGAGTTGAGTAGGCACTTTCTTAGACTCTATGTTGCTTTCAGTAGTTAAGGTTGAGTCTGTCTCATTTTCCCATTAATTACATAAAATGTGAAGCAAACTAACTGTCTTTGCAAACAATTAAAATACAAGGAAACATTAAAATCTCATTTAGGCTTTATTTTTTCTAAATGAGATACATAAGTCATTTCCTAAAAATATCAAACATTTAGCTTGTCAAACTGCTACTTTCAAGGTTAAATAAGCAATAGTACAGTGGTGTTTTGCCAAAAACAATAATGTTCTGATCCAGAAAAGAAAGAAAGAAAAGAACAAAGACAATGCCATTTTAGAAATTAATGTCTAACCGGAATTAAGGGAAGATTTGAGAGGAGACAGGATTGCTGTCTTTCATATTTCAGATGTTTTCAGTGTTTAATGTATAACAGGATTTTATTTGGCTTTGGTAGGCAGAACTAGGTTGACATGACAGGGATACAGATTTTGACTCACAGGAAAGACCCTTCTAACAATTATGATTGTTAAAAATAGACATTTCTTCAAAGAAGACATGCAGATGGCCAACCAAATTATAAAAACATGCTCAGTATCACAAATCATAATGAAAATGAAAACCACAGTGAGATATCACCTCACACCTGTCAGAATAGCTAATAATTAAAAAGTCAACAAAAGACAAGCGTTGGTGAGAAATGTGAAAACTAATGTACTGTTCATTGAATTTTAAGTTGGGGTAGCCACTATGGGAAAAAGTATAGAGGTTCCTCAAAATATTAAAAATACAACTATCATAATACCCAGCAATTTTATTCCCAGGTATTTATTTAAAAATGAAAAAAAAGATATATGCACCTCAATGTTCATTTTATCATTATTGACAATAGCCAAGATATGAAAGCAGCCTTTGTGTCTATTGATCAGTGAACGGATAAATTATTTATGGAATATTACTCAACAATAGAAACATAAAAAAGAATGAATCTTACTATTTGTAACAACATGGATGAACCTAGAAGGTGTAATGCTAAGTGAAATAAGTTAGAGAAATATAAATACTGTATGATTTCACTTACATGTAGAATCTAATAAACAAAAAAAAAACAAATACAGAGAACAAACTGAGGGTCACTGGATGAGAGGGGCGTTGGGAGGGATGGGTGGAAAAGTGAAAGGATTAATAAGTACATATTGGTAATTATAGAATAGTCATGAGGATGTAAAGTACAGCATAGGGCAGTGATGGCGAACCTATGACACGTGTGTCAGAGGTGACACGTGAACTTATTTTTTTGGTTGATTTTTCTTTGTTAAGTGGCATTTAAATATATACAATAAAAATCAAAAATATAAATCTTTGTTTTACTGTGGTTGCAAATATCAAAAAATTTCTATATGTGACACGGCACCAGAGTTAAGTTAGGGTTTTTCAAAATGCTGACACGCCAAGCTCAAAAGGTTCGCCATCACTGGCTTAGGGAATATAGTCAATAATATTGTAATAACTATGTATGGTGCCAGATGGGTATGACATTTACCAGAGTACATAAATGTCTAATCTTTATGCTGTACACCTGAAACTAATATATTGTATGCCAACTACATTTTAAAATATTTTAAAAATTTAATCATCCGCATTAATATATTTTCACTGAGCTTGCCCTGAGAGTAGAAAATAGCCCCTTTTATTGCATCTACCACCAGATACCCTCTAGTTCTTCAGTAGTCTGGTAGTTTCTTGAAATGGTTGCAAGAATAGTCTCAATACATGTGCATGTCTGAAGCTACTATAATTCTGTAAGTAAACGCAGATCTTTAAAATTACAGAAGCTTCTAGAACGTGCCATGATTAATATTTCAGATGTTTTCAGTGTTCAGAACTAATTTTGCCATCAACCAAATTCTGAAAGAGGCAAAAGTAATCTGAATTGCACCATCTATTCCAAACCCCTATAATTCCCAACCTGGCAGCCATTCCCTAGGCTTTTTTCCTATATTTCATTTCCAAAGTTTCATAAACTCACCTCAGCAATTACCTAATTCCTAATACAATTGCAGTTAAAATTGATTAATTTCCCCCAGAGTTGATGATAGGGAAATAGCTATATTCCAAATTTAAGTACAAGTGGAGACAGCTGTAAAGCTGAAATGTGGAACCCCATAGACAGTTGGAATGCACATTTGGGGGCTATTTCTTGAGGTCTTGTTTATTGGTTATTCCTACAAATTTGGTTAATCCCTCTGATTATAAAAGGGAAAATGTGACTGAGCATATTTCCAAAATAGTGATCCTTTTGATTACTGCAAATATCCTCCAAAATACTTATCCATTTATAGAGTGGCATGCTATTTTTAGTTTACATAGAAAAGACCTTCTGAATTTATGAAAGTTCACACTTGAATACTTCTTTAGTATGAAACAAATGTATTTGTATACCCAAATATAAACTGACATGCCTTTGATGCTATTTTTACTCTATTTTGGGCAGAAATCATCTGATGCTGTCCTTAAGAAAGGAACATAAATCCTCAAGATGGGAGGTAACAGCACAAACAGTACAGGAGCAAAGTGCACTGATCTTCAAATGCCATTTCAGTACACTCTCTATGCAGCCACCTACATCCTCATAATCATCCCTGGTCTTCTGGCTAACAGTGTAGCCTTGTGGGTTCTGTGCCGCTTCATCAGCAAGAAAAATAAAGCCATCATTTTCATGATCAACCTCTCTGTGGCTGACCTTGCTCATGTGCTCTCCTTACCCCTCCGGATTTACTACTACATCAGCCACCACTGGCCTTTCCAGAAGACCCTTTGCCTGCTGTGCTTCTACCTGAAATATCTCAACATGTACGCCAGCATTTGCTTCCTGACCTGCATCAGCCTTCAGAGGTGCTTCTTTCTCCTGAAGCCCTTCAGGGCCAGAGATTGGAAGCGTAGGTATGATGTGGGCATCAGTGCTGCCATCTGGGTCATCGTGGGCACTGCCTGTTTGCCACTTCCAATTCTGAGAGGTACTGGCTCAGCCAACGATACTGAATCCTGCTTTGCTGATTTAGGGTTTCAACACATTAGCATGGCTTCTTCCATTGGCATGGTAACTGTAGCTGAACTTGGAGGATTTATATTACCTGCTATGATTATTACTTATTGTACATGGAAAACAAGAAAATCTTTACGGGAATTCCAAGTTCCTCCTCAGAATACCAAAGAGAGAAAAAAAGCTTTGTGGATGGTCCTGATGTGTGCAGTGGTATTCATTGTGTGCTTTGCCCCTTACCACCTCAACTTCCCACTTTTTATGATGATGAAGCAACATATCTTTTCAAACTGCTACTTTATCAAGAGTATTCTATGTTTCCACATAATTTCCTTGTGTCTTGCAAATCTGAATTGCTGTCTTGATCCAGTTGTGTATTATTTTATGACCTCAGAATTTCGTGATAGATTTTCACAACGTGGCCTGGTTTTTCAGTCATGTGTGAGATACAATGACAGTGTTTAGGAGATTCATCACAAGAAGGGAGATCTTCAAATTATCTCCCTCGAATTTTGGATGATTCCAGGACAACATAATCAAACAATTAGCAAGAATGATCTATATGCTCTGTCAGTTTAGCTATGTCACCTTGAATATTTTTTCCTAAATTGATATTATTGACTGCCTTAACAAAACATGGACCCCTTCCCTTTATTCTCCAAATTACTCTTTTGAAGGAGCTACTCATGCCTATATGTTCTGTCTAAATGGAAACAATTTTTTCTATGCAGCACACGAGAAAACATTTTTCTTTACAGAAAGTAATACGCAACTGAATGAATTGCCCAACTGTTCCTCAGCAATGGGTGTAGTCTTTTCACCTTCTCCTACAAAAAACAAACAAGAAAAAAACAAAACACACACAGCAAAATGTAAATTGAAAATAGGTAGATATAGGTGAATTTTGAAATGTTTCAAGATGTACATGAAAGCAATATGATCCTAGCTTTTTTTTTTTTTTAATAACACACTACTTAAGCAATGTAGGCTAAAATGGACAGGTTTATATTAATAGAAGTTATGATAATTGATACTTTTATAATTTAAAATATCTATGAGACTTTTACATTTTCCTCTTGGAGAAAGATACAATTCAGATACATCCCAAATATCTCAAAAATATCAAGGCTTTCACACAGAGCACATACACCTTAAACACAAAATAAACTTGTGTTCTAACATATTACACAAAATTCAGAGTTTCAGGGTTTGCAATGAAAGTTCTTTGTGTGTGATGTGATGCATGCTTTTATATATTGGCACTCGTTCAGAAAACATCTTGTTTAATTTGTTCATTAAAATCAATTGTGCCACGGTCTGCCTAGATTAATTCACTTAAGTACCACCTTAGTCAAAATGTTGCTTGATAGATTTAAACAATGAAGATACACACATGCATATAGTTTTTCAAATGGACCTCTTTCCTTACAAGTAAAGGTATGTGTAAAGAAAACAATGGTGCATCAAATCTTACTGTAAATAGAAAATTGTTTTTTTAATTATTACTGTGGTGAAATTATTTTGTAATACAAATCACTCCCATTGGAAATTTTGAAACTTAAAATTTTATATATCAGCTTTTATTAAAATAGTATTTTAAAAAGCAGTGGTTACTTTTATGAAATTACACTCATGCAACAAATAACAATGTTTCAGTCAATGATGGACCACATATACTAGTATGATGGTGATCCCTAAGATTAAAATGAGGTTAAAAAATTCTTATTGCCTAGTAATATTGTAGCCATCATAATGTCATAGTGCAATGCACATTAGTCATATGTTTTTTGTAATGCTGTTGTAAACAAACCTATGTGCTACCAGTTATATAAAAGCATAGAACATACAATTCTGTACAGTGCATAATACTTGATAATGATGATAAATGAATATGTTACTAGTTTATATATTCACCATAAAATTTTTTAAATATTAATTTAGAGTGTACCATTTCTACTTATGAAAAAAGTGTTTGCTATAAAACAATATTTTGTGTTATGCAGGCAGCAGGCTTATAAATCTCATGTTTACTATGTCTCTTGATTGCATTATTTTTTCTTGTGCTTCATTTAATCATGTGTTTTTCTGTGTTGTTGTTTTTGTTGTGTTGTAAGCTTGATCATCTAGGTTTGTGTAAGTGTATTCTATGATGTTCACACAATGACAAAATTGCCTAATGATGCATTTCTCAGCATATTTTCTTATCTTTATATAATTGGAAATTTATAAAATGTTTTATCTGTGTCATTTTTTTGTAAATAGGGATTGCTTATCTAAACAAAAACAGATAACATTTACCACAGGGGGTTTAAAAAAACAGAGGAAAACTCAAGTTCTATGAAATAATTTAAGGATGTGCATTTTAGACAGTTGTGTCCTATAGCAATGATCAAGTATCTCTTTTTTAGTCCCTAAACATTTAAAACCCCATTTTAGGTGGAAATTGTTCTAAATTATATTCTTTCCTACCCACTTAAGCAGTTTGTTTTATATAAAAGGACATGGTGTATGAAATAAGTATTCATCCAGATTCAGAGCACCAGGATCTAGTTTCAGGCCTGCCACTGATGAGCTATATTACTTTGAGCAAGTTGCTTATCTTTGGTTTTCTTTTCTTTTTTTTTTTTTTTAACCTGTTCATAAGGGAGCTACACTAGATGATCTTAATTTGAGACATACTTTTCAGAATGTGCTTTCTAAACTCCAAAGCACTTTACAAATGATTGTTTTTGCTATTATTAGTATTAACATTGTTGCTAACATTTAATGTAATATTAATGTAACATTTAATGTAATATTTTCAGTATGACTGAGGGTCATTATTATAAACATCAGTTATTGTACTGTACACATTTGGTTCTCTCAGGGCTATTGATATCTCTAGTATTGCTTGTCCCTATACTAAATTGGCCCTATGAATTTTTGGTTCTTATACATTTGATTTTATAAGAGCTTCTTTCTCCACTATCCTATATAATCCTATATAATAAAAGCCTTATATGCTAAGTGTCTGATCACCAGTTGGCCGTTCAACCAATCAAAGCATAATCTATACTAATAAAAGGGTAATATGTGAATTAGACTGGACATCTTCCGGACAAGCTTCTGGACATCCTTCCGGACAAAGCCATGGTGGCGGGGGCCGAGAC